AGGGATTGACTTGCTACCAGGGAATAATCTCGTTGACTTAGAATATGCAGACGATACAGTCCTTCTAGGCGAGGACGCTGACAAAATACAGTCTTCTGAACACCTTGAGCTGCAATCTACGAATGTTTGGCATGCGATTCGCTCCCGCCAACTGCAAGATGATGTTACAGGACTGGACTATATCGACGCCTAGTTTAAAAATAGGGAGTGAAGTGGTTGATGGAGCACGTTGACCGCTTCACTTATTTGGGAAGTACCATCAGCCTCAACGGGTTGATCTCTGACGAAATCTCAGTACGAATACAGGGGGCTCGTTTCGCATATGCCAATTTACGTCGTCTCTGGCGTAGACGTGATATCCGACTATCGACCAAAGGGCGGGTGTAATTCTCATGAGTCAACTCCGTCCTCCTTTATGGCTGTGAGACCTGGCCATTGACAGTGGAAGACATGAAAAGATTAGCTGTCTTTGATCATAGGTGCCTGAGCTCTATCTCCCGTGTGAAGTAGTATAATAAGGTGAGCAATACTGAGGTTAGGCGTCGAGTGCTTGGTAAGGAGAAGAAATCGATCGTCAAGGCTGTGAAATTACACCGACTGAGATGGTTAGGACATGTGTGACGAATGCCTAGTCATCACCTTAATCTATGGGCAATGTTAGCTGACATAGGGTCAGGCTGGAAAAGAGCTAGCGGCGGTTAAACCAAAACATGTTACCAGTCAATGAAATCTACAACAATTAGTTTAAGCCTTTTAGAAAAGTGCAGACTTCTTCGGGACTGTAAAAACCAATGGTTGGAAACAATTGGTGATATGGCTTAAAATCCTTCTCAATGACAGCGCAGATGCACCAACTCCTTGTGACTTACGATTTTCAATGAAACTGTCTTGTTCTTCGTTATTACTATTTCTTTGGCTCACACCTCTGTTTACTGTCCCTAATATGAGTTTCTTCTAACTTCTTCTATGCGAAACAGGAGGAACTGACGAGGATATAAAGGCCAGAATCGGAAAAGCAAGGCAAGCTTTCATTACTTTTAAGTCTGTGTGGAATTCAACAGCAATCAGCATCAAAAATAAGATCCGGATTTTCAACTCCAATGTAAATGCAGTGCTACTATACGGATCAGAGACTTGGCGAGTCATAAAAAGCACCTCAAACAAACTTCAAACCTTCATTAACAATTGTCTTCGCACAATACTCAAGATCAGATGCCCTGGCAGAAAAGACCAGCAACAGGGATCTCTGGGAGCGAAACAATCAGGAACCGATTATGAAACAAATATGCAGGAAGAAATGAAGATGTATTGGCCATACTCTGAGGAAACCATCAAGTGACATCACTAGACAAGCCACCGCTCAAGTGGATCCCGAAAAGGAAGCAGCGAGTCGGTCGTCCAACGGTGACTTGGAGGAGGTCATGTGAGGAGGAGATGTAAGCATGTGGACAGACTGGAAGCGGGGTGAAAAAGTTGGCAGAAAACAGAAGGAAATGGAGGTGCGCAGCTGAAGACCTATGTTCCTCTAGGAACTAAAGGATATAGTAATAAATAATGATAAGAATGAAACTGAGCATATTTAATCACACGAATCACTAGATCAACAGAGGGGGACAGTCGTTCATCTATTATTTCGTGGAGAGACCACCTAAATGCTTATCTTCTGCACACAATCTGCACTGAGTACGTGTTTCAAATTGATGCGACTCAAGATGAGTTTGTAGTCATGAAAATGAAATCATCAATGTACAGAATTTGTGCAACAGAAACGTATGCAATGTATGCGAGTTCGTGTTATCGGTGTGTGTCAGATAAATGAATAGATTGGGTTGTCATACCGTACCTCAAATTCATCAGAAAATGATATTCATATCGACGTCTGATAGATATGATCGAATCGAATGGTTCATACATTCACACAAATCACTGATTATCACATACTCTGAAGGTAGTTGTCAGAAGTGAGTTATCTACTTTCAAGGTAGTTTCAAAATATTTAAAGTGCAATATATACACACAACGAAATTAACTGGCACTTACCTGTCAGTGGAGATGAATGCAGGAGAAGGAGGAACACAGTGATTTCTAATGATCGGAAAGCGAAAGCCATGATTATGTGTAATTCCGTGAAATCTGATGTATTTATATGAATTTTTATTCTAGAGATTCAAATGAACAAATGAAGGACGCGAAGACATCGGACCATTTCCAAGTAACTTTAATTACTTACGTCCAATTATTCTTGGCATGGTTATCACTACTATAAATAAATTGAACTCTATTACAGAATGTGAACAATTTTCTTCAAAGAAGGTGTAATTATTCAGAAAGAAAAGGTAAATTTTGGTATTATTTCATATGAGAATTTCTTCACTGTAATAACTTATTCTTGTGTTGGAAGATGGTCGGTGTTATAATTGCATTAAAATGTATGAGAACCGCAGTCACTTTGTTATGTTTGCGCCCACTAATTATTGTTATTACGCTAATGACTATAATGAACTCAACTGGTACGCCAATATAATTATATGCTTCTGGTACCTTCCGATTTACTGAGCCACGCAAACATCCGAAGAAAAAGGCTGGCCTGTGACTGTGAGAAGCTTTATGGTACTGTATATTGTAATACAAATTATTAGGAAAACAACACATGGTATTTATACATTTTACAACATAGTGTTAAGTAATTCAGTGATGTGTTTGGACTGGCTATTAGAATGTCATTCGTGTTATATATAAGCTGGGATTTTGTCAATTCTGACCAATTATTACTTTGATAAAGCTATTAAAATTAATATCAGTAAAAAGTTTGAGCATTGTGGACTAGATCAAATAAAGTATAATTATATTTCAATAGTTTACACACCAATAACAAAAACTTATGATTGTGTGTAAACTATTGAAATATAATTATACTTTATCTAATAAAATTAAGCAGCAAAATATCAGGAAAAACAACTTTGCTTTGCTTTTACTTCATTTGTAAATGCAAAACTACACTCCTAATATCTCCCTTATCATCTTGAGGAGACTCACCTACATTTAATAAGCTCACTCATCACCTGGCCTTCGTTAATCCTGCTTATTTCCGAAGTACTGATGTCATCACGATTTTCCGTCTCCTCGAGAATCCACGCATCTTCCTTGATCCATGCAAAGATTCCCAAATCTTCCAGCGCTTCACTCAGAGTATCGTGGACCTATGCATATACGAATGACACTCTAATAGCCAGTCCAAACACATCACTGAATTACTTAACACTATGTTGTAAAATGTATAAATACCATGTGTTGTTTTCCTAATAATTTGTATTACAATATACAGTACCATAAAGCTTCTCACAGTCACAGGCCAGCCTTTTTCTTCGGATGTTTGCGTGGCTCAGTAAATCGGAAGGTACCAGAAGCATATAATTATATTGGCGTACCAGTTGAGTTCATTATAGTCATTAGCGTAATAACAATAATTAGTGGGCGCAAACATAACAAAGTGACTGCGGTTCTCATACATTTTAATGCAATTATAACACCGACCATCTTCCAACACAAGAATAAGTTATTACAGTGAAGAAATTCTCATATGAAATAATACCAAAATTTACCTTTTCTTTCTGAATAATTACACCTTCTTTGAAGAAAATTGTTCACATTCTGTAATAGAGTTCAATTTATTTATAGTAGTGATAACCATGCCAAGAATAATTGGACGTAAGTAATTAAAGTTACTTGGAAATGGTCCGATGTCTTCGCGTCCTTCATTTGTTCATTTGAATCTCTAGAATAAAAATTCATATAAATACATCAGATTTCACGGAATTACACATAATCATGGCTTTCGCTTTCCGATCATTAGAAATCACTGTGTTCCTCCTTCTCCTGCATTCATCTCCACTGACAGGTAAGTGCCAGTTAATTTCGTTGTGTGTATATATTGCACTTTAAATATTTTGAAACTACCTTGAAAGTAGATAACTCACTTCTGACAACTACCTTCAGAGTATGTGATAATCAGTGATTTGTGTGAATGTATGAACCATTCGATTCGATCATATCTATCAGACGTCGATATGAATATCATTTTCTGATGAATTTGAGGTACGGTATGACAACCCAATCTATTCATTTATCTGACACACACCGATAACACGAACTCGCATACATTGCATACGTTTCTGTTGCACAAATTCTGTACATTGATGATTTCATTTTCATGACTACAAACTCATCTTGAGTCGCATCAATTTGAAACACGTACTCAGTGCAGATTGTGTGCAGAAGATAAGCATTTAGGTGGTCTCTCCACGAAATAATAGATGAACGACTGTCCCCTCTGTTGATCTAGTGATTCGTGTGATTAAATATGCTCAGTTTCATTCTTATCATTATTTATTACTATATCCTTTAGTTCCTAGAGGAACATAGGTCTTCAGCTGCGCACCTCCATTTCCTTCTGTTTTCTGCCAACTTTTTCACCCCGCTTCCAGTCTGTCCACATGCTTACATCTCCTCCTCACATGACCTCCTCCAAGTCACCGTTGGACGACCGACTCGCTGCTTCCTTTTCGGGATCCACTTGAGCGGTGGCTTGTCTAGTGATGTCACTTGATGGTTTCCTCAGAGTATGGCCAATACATCTTCATTTCTTCCTGCATATTTGTTTCATAATCGGTTCCTGATTGTTTCGCTCCCAGAGATCCCTGTTGCTGGTCTTTTCTGCCAGGGCATCTGATCTTGAGTATTGTGCGAAGACAATTGTTAATGAAGGTTTGAAGTTTGTTTGAGGTGCTTTTTATGACTCGCCAAGTCTCTGATCCGTATAGTAGCACTGCATTTACATTGGAGTTGAAAATCCGGATCTTATTTTTGATGCTGATTGCTGTTGAATTCCACACAGACTTAAGAGTAATGAAAGCTTGCCTTGCTTTTCCGATTCTGGCCTTTATATCCTCGTCAGTTCCTCCTGTTTCGCATATTATTAATTAATTATTTCTCCTTTTCAGAAGCTGTTCTAAATACTCAGCATTACTGTGAGTCATTGCACATTGAACAGTAATTTAAGCATTCATGTCGCCATTAGTCTGCTATAATCCGATTGTTTCTGACTTGTAAATTCTTTTGAAATGTGAAGTTGCTTGTCGAATATCCAGTCACCTCAGGAATGAATATTCGGGATTCTACAATGAATTGAAAGTCAATCTGAACGAATAATATTCTTTCCAATAATCTCTCTTCAGGTTCTTACAATTATAAAATATAACATTTGTTGTCGTTACAATAAAGACCAGTTATGTGGCGGATACATTTTTAACGTAGAATAACAGATTAGTTATGGGGTGTCAAAATAAATAGTCGTATTTGTGTGACAAACGTGCTAGGCTGAAATCGATTACGAAATTTTGTAAAATTGGAGACAATGGTGGTGATTAGTCATAATAGATGTCAAGCTTTTGAATATTGCTCTCCACAATTAGTAGTTTGTCAGTTAATTTAAGGCTATTATCGAATAGTCTGGTGGTGAGACATCATGTAAATCCTGCAAAGAAATGCAGCAAGTGAAACAACTTCATCTAGTCCAGCAGGACGATAGCGTTGAACTCTGGGAATCTGCACGCTGTGGATATGCGGGAATCGACTTCATCATTTCATATTTCCTAAGAGTGAAAAGATGAATCCTCAATGTATTCACATTGGGTAGGTGGTTGTGGTGAGAAGCTAGTCAGTTTGCATCTGTGGCAGTTAACCCCTGAATTCGGTTTGAGAACTAGGATTCTCGAGCAGGACAAAAGTTACTTCTTCTGGAGTGAGTGAGAGGATATTTCAAGCAGTATCGTTCCGTATTCTCGACTGGGATATTCTCTTCAATACGCCACTCATTGAACATATCAACCAGTATTGTTCAGTCTCATAAAATGGGAAACATGCCAGCACACATTTTCTCTATGTCACTCATTCTTGAAATTGAACAAGTCATAACATTCGATCGAGCTTAATGCAATGAATTGACGCTTAGCCTTCTTGTTTTGAAGATGCGAATCGTCTTGCTCGAGAGATACACGATTTAGAAATTATCATCAGCATGTTTGAAAGTAAGCAAATTCTATTCAATGTTCTTCAATATTTCATACATTCGCCTAACATTTGATGAAGTAATAGAGTCTACGTTCATTTTCATTTTTATTTGTTGAATGATTTATCGTATTCTCTCCGAATTTGCAATTATCTGCGTTTGAGTTGATTGATGGAAGCATATTCAGCGTGTAACACTGAAACCCTTTGTGAATGTAGACGAATTCAGCGTGACTGATGATCAGTTTTGACATTAACCATGATTTCTATAGTCATTAATAATTCATTTGTGGAACATTTGCAATTGTTTTACAGACAGTATAGTGGATGTCAATAATCGGAAAGCCACTGTGGAAGAAGAAGTGAACACATTGGAAGGTGCTTTTACAAGCCTGATTTTACTTACCATGTGAAATTTTGTATGTTATTTCTTAATTTGTTGTGTCGGTGATGCTTCGACTCAATAGTATGCGTGTTACTTCAACTCTGTGTTAGTGGTAGTGTACAGTTGAAAATTAATGTGATTGTTGGACATATGACAGAGTGAAAGAGGTTTATTCCCTGGATGATGTTTCTAGTGATATTTATTAATCACAATGGTATCACTTGCAACTACAAGATAACTAAGCTCCACACGTAACCCTCTCTTCCTCCCCTGTCATAATCCTTCAACAAACGTGGAGTGTTCACAGCCTCTATTTACCCTCCCTACTAAGGATGTCAGTGGTGTGATGTAGATTTACAACCAGTAATTCGATGATAGTCACAATATAACTAATATCAGTTTCGCAGTGTTTCGTACATAGATTTTGTGTTTTGAAGTGAATGTGTGGTTTCGCATTACTAGTCGCTGGAGGATGTTAAATACTTTGTGCATGAACATGCAGTAAACAATTGTCAAATGCTGTTCAAATGTGTGTAAACATCAATATCTAGGTATCATTGGAGACAGAGAACTGGTGATGCCACACTACCGTCCGTTTATTCATCAGCTTTTATTTCAATAGTTCAGAAACGAGCAATATTGACAACACTGTCTCCAGTGTCTTGCAACAAACTGTTTGTCTCTTTCTCACTCCAGCCCGCTTGGAAAGACAGGCCAGAGAAACGGGTAAAAGTATCACTGCGTGTAAGTCAACAAATTTAATCAATATTGAGAAATAATCGTTCTTTTAGTTGCGAATTGTCTATCCAATATTTCTCAACACTACTACCAACCGGATATTTACAGAAGTACGTGAAATGTTTGTTGTTCATCTTTAACCTGCAAAAAAATTTACTAGACTATTGAAATCTCTCGTTAAATAGACTTTGAATTAACGCCACTACTGAATATCACACAGACATGTGAAGGCTGACGTTCAGTTGTTTAAACAATGTGTCTGAATAGTGCTACCTATTCAACTTGGGTATCTCATGGTTAAGAATTAATCGCCTTTTATTATCCCAATTGTTGTCTATCGCGAATTTGTCACGTATTGATTTATTTCCTCAGGCATTTCACGGAGCATCAATAGGGTGCGGCAGGCATACGGTAAGTACGCTCTCATAATTCATACCACATTCTGTTTGATCTTGTTCGCTTTGCATTTCAATCGGCGAAGTGTCGAGGCTGATTTGTGAATGAAATTGAGTTGTGTCACACTGCTGCTGTTGAAAGATGAGTGTGAGTGTGGCAGACTGCTTTCAGCTGCTTAAGATGCTCATCCCACATTTCACTTTCAGTCACTTGGATACAACCAGTATAGGAGACTACAAGCGTATCTAGCATTTCATCCAATCTCTGCTCAATGATACGTAATGGCGAAAGATGTTGACGAAACGGACTCAGTTGATTTACTCGCTGAAAAGCCTGACCTATAGGCCACTAATATTTCCCAGATGGGGAGACAAACATGAAATTATCCATTGAATTTGTGCCATTCGACCAGTGTGACACGTGATTTTTAAACTACTGGTCGATAAATATTCTGTCCTTTTTGCATTTTATTCAGGGAATTTCTTCTCCATACCTCAGAGTAGAACTCTCTGGAGGAATCGTTAATCCATGGATCTGAATGTAAGCGCTGATATTATTGGTTGGGCAGATTAGTTTCACTTCTGCTTACGGTTTTTCATTCTTCTGGCCAAGTCAACGTATTTAAATGCTAACTTAGTTATCGTTGATAGCGCAGGTGTGTGACTGGAAGACAGATGTGTTTATCTGTTGGATATTTGAATGAATTTGTCAGTCACTGCACAATAATTGACATCCAGTAGTGATTTTGTATACGTCTGTTGTCACTTTGTGAACCAGGGTCAGTGTGTTGGGACTCGGTTTGTTTGTGAGACTGTCAAAAACAAACAGGTGATTACTCTCCGATGCTACTCACTAAAATCGTTTTGTGAATGAGCACATCGTTTTGAATAGTTGATGCCCAGCCGCTCACAGTGTTCAGAGGTGAATTGGGAGCAAATGAAACCTAGTCGGCAACAATGTGCATACCGCCTAATCCGAGGACGAGCAGCTCATGGACTCATGGTCAATTCCTATGAAGATTCGAAACTTCAGGTTTCTCTCTCTTAACATCTTTCAGTCATTGTTTACCCACCAAGAATCACTTTAACTCCAACAACAGGTTGGCGGAATTCACAACCTACACGTACATATTATTTCCGATGTCATGATAAACGAGTAATATGTTTGTATGTGTTGACGTCTGTGTATTTCAGCCGGTCCAAGCCGTAAGTCAAATCACAGAATACTGGTGATCAGTAATACTGAACACACCATGTTCATTGTAGCCGACGAAATACCGTCAATATTATTCTTTCTTCTTGAATAGGTATCGGACAACAGCCGGATTTAAGTGAATGTGATAGTCTTCTGTCGGTTAGTCGCACTGAAGGTAATTCGAAACATGTCATTGCTTTGTGGAAGAATGTTCCACAACTTTTATCCTTCCTATTTCACAGACAGATGTTTGTCAAATTATTCGGCTAAATAACAATTGACAGTGACTGTCATACTACGTTTATCGTAAACGATGAAGCTACTCACTACGAAGTGAAGGTCTTATTATTGTTATTGCTCCCTTGGGTTCCTACGGTGATGGACGTCTCCACTTGCTTCTGTTTTCTGCTGTACTTTTCACCTGCATCCATTTTAGTCCATACTCTTTCAACTCCTATTCACACCATCTCCTTCATATCACACTTGGACGTCCCACTCGCCGCCTCCCTTTCAGGTTCCACTCGAGGGCTTGACGCGCGAGTCACCCAGCGGTCTCCTCAGCGAGTGTCCGATCCATCTCCATCTACTTTCTCCTGCATATTTGTTGGGCGATTGTTTCTTGTTTTGTTTGTTCCCATAGTTCCTTGTTGGTGATTCTCTCCGGCCCGGCCATCTGATCTTCAGTATAGATCCAGCGAAGACAGTTGTTAATAAAGGTCTGCAACAGACTGTTGGAAATATTCTTTGTGACCTGTCCGCCAAGTTCCTGATCCGTATAGAAGAACTGACTGATTTGACGTTTGTATTGAAAATCCGACTGGATTTTGTTGTTGATGTTGGCTGAGTGACGAAGATTTCCAGATTGATTTCAGGTTGATGAATGTGTTTCTCGCCTTCCCGATTCTCGCTCGATTTGACATCCTCGTCCGTTCTGACTGCCTGTAGTTGAGACAATGCTCCCTAGATAAGTGAATGAAGTAACCTCTTTCAAATCCCTCCCGTTGATGGTGATTGACGCTGGATGTTGTTGCTGTTGTTGTTGGTGGTTATGGTTGGTTATTTTCATCACCTCCGTCTTGTCTATGTTCACTTGGAGTCCTGTCTTCTCTGGCTGCTTCTTCGACCAGTTTGTCTACTTACTTATAAATACCCTGATAATTCTTCTTTCAGAGAACTTTCCACTGACCGTATTTCTAGGATTGTATTACTGCTAATATTATTGTTCCCTTGAGTTTCAAGTGGGACATAGGGCTTCAGCCGCTCCACATCTCCACTTCTTCCTATTCTCGGTGGTCCTTTTCAGCTGGCCTCAAGATTGCTTATAGGTTCTCATCAGCCCTCAATATGACCTACTCAATGTCACTACCCTCAGGGGCACTCCCTACTCGTCGATGTCCACTCATGTCCTGTCCGAGAGATGGCCTGGTGAGCGATGTCAACCGATGGCCTCCTCAACGTTTGTCTGATGCATCTCCATTTCCTCCAGCGTATTTGTTGATCAGTAGGTTCTTGGGTGGTTGGTTTGTTCCTCGGGTTTCTTGTCGCTAATTGTCTCTGACTATTTGATTGATCTTTAATATGTAGGTAACGATGCGAGATATTGAATACCGTCCACCGTCTACTGGGAAAGCTGTGACATATATATATATATTCAGTCTCCTGAGTGGGGTTGAATTGAGAAGTGAACACTGTTTCTCTCAATATTCCTGTGTTCCGAATAAGCAATGCTTCTTCCCATCCTCATTTGTCCACAAATCACCATGCTGAAAATTCCATACTTGTACCAAAAATACGGTGTGGAATCAAGCTGTAATCAAAAATAATAAATAAATAAATGCCTATCCATGATATGTGCTTGCACTTTGCCTTCCTTTCCAGAAATAAACCAATTGACTCAACGGGTAATAAATCTCAGTCATTTGCAACACCTGTCAGTGATAGCTTATGGTAAGTTGAAAAATTTGGAGTCGAGTATTTTGCAAGGCGCTTCCAACAGTCTAGTATGTCGTAAAGGTTGAGTCGGAGGTGAGTTAGCATCTCACACTCAGATTTTTCGAGTACTATGCGGATACTTGTCTCGATGATTAGAAACGATGGACTTACAACATTTTATCTGTTTTCTCACATGCGCCTGTTTAAGTATACATATCAAGTGAACCTTTTTTGACTACAAACTCCATCTTCTCTTTATAGAAACCAGATCAATCTATGAGAAAGTTAAGGCGAGTATGAGGGTGAGTTTATGTACCAGAATCAATCCACACTATCCTTTTGGCGAAGATCAGTCTACTTATCGTGTAGTCTCTTTCAACACATCTCATGTCCTATTGAATAATGTTGTGTTGGTGTTTAGAGACAAGTAGGTGAGATGTTCACATCTAATGAATAACTAAACATTGTGTAGTGAAAATTTCGAGAATCGGTATTATAGTTAGATGGGAAGCTTCGGATTCTTCCAGACTGATTGTTGTGGTGGTTAATTGGTATGATGCTTTTAACTGAGGTGCTTAATACACGTCTTGCCCACGTTTGAATGCATGAAGGACATGTATGATCCAGCGTATCAACTGGAGTACAATCGATTCGAGTAATTCAGTCATTTGGGACTGAAAATGTCGAAAATTAGTGGTTGATTCACTTTATGAAGCGTTTTTCATTCCTTCAGTATCGTCCTCGGTTTTGTTTAAACTATTCATTCATTCATCATTTTTGCATTCTTTCTTCTGTCCCTGAAGGATGAATACCACTCACTGACAGGACATTTACTACCGTAATCCATGTCAGATGTACATAAGTATTCGACTGTCTTCACGAATCATTTGAAGACAACGTGACTCTTCTTTTCTCTTTCACTTGATTAGACTTTAGTACTGATATGTAGTCATAATAATAATATCAGCAGTGATAATTGTAAAAATAATACTAACAATAACAATAATAATGATATTTTCACATCACTTTGACTTCTCCCTACAATGTTCAATAATGGCGGTGTGTGTAGAATGTTATAGTCATATTAGAGGTGACGTGACCGGAATATTCACCTGTGACTGTAGTTTTCCTCGCATTATAACTTAGTCCTGTCTTACAGTCACTTCTCATAATTGGCTTTAACAGATAAATAACGAACACATTTGCAGGATAATACGGATTCGCTTAGTTTCCTGGATTCTCTTCAAATGCGAACACACTCAAGTTAATCAAATTATAAGTTACAAAATGCATGAACACACTTTTCACGGTGACTTGCAGTCATAGATAGAAAGTTTAGACAACACACTTCCGAGGATGATGTGAGTAGACAAATTATTCAGTGTTAAAAGCCTGACTATTTACAGTAGAATTGGACAAGTGAGGGGAGTATAGTCAATATTTCTCTTGGAAATAAGGAGTGACTAGAGACAAAATACAAGATCGAAGAACATAGTCAATTTATGCATATTATGAATGAATGGTAGAGTCAAATTATGACAAACAAACAATTAAGTGTATTTCGGAACTTACTTGTGAGTTCGACTCAGAGAGTCAAAATCAAAATTAGGTAGAATGTTCCGAGACAGAGAAGAACTCAAAGAACACAAACAAAGTAGTATTAATCCAACTACTCGCATTACTAAAACTGGAGAACCCAATTCAATCGAATAAACCTTTCGGTAACTCCTAATCAAGTCTGTGAACTAATGAATAAACTAACCAAGGTGATCACACTATTAACAAGATGATGACATATTGATAATAAGTAATAATAACAATGTAGTCAGTCAGTTATTTTGAGTGTATATATTTTTAGGGGTAGAGCGATGGTTATATCTTTCTCTGTCGGTTTTCGACATAGAACTTTGTACCGATGTGCAGCAGTTCAAGTCGCCACACTCCATATAGCACACAAAGCAACAGAAGAAGTTAGAAGAAACTCATATTAGGGACAGTAAACAGAGGTGTGAGCCAAAGAAATAGTAATAACGAAGAACAAGACAGTTTCATTGAAAATCGTAAGTCACAAGGAGTTGGTGCATCTGCGCTGTCATTGAGAAGGATTTTAAGCCATATCACCAATTGTTTCCAACCATTGGTTTTTACAGTCCCGAAGAAGTCTGCACTTTTCTAAAAGGCTTAAACTAATTGTTGTAGATTTCATTGACTGGTAACATGTTTTGGTTTAACCGCCGCTAGCTCTTTTCCAGCCTGACCCTATGTCAGCTAACATTGCCCATAGATTAAGGTGATGACTAGGCATTCGTCACACATGTCCTAACCATCTCAGTCGGTGTAATTTCACAGCCTTGACGATCGATTTCTTCTCCTTACCAAGCACTCGACGCCTAACCTCA